TATTAGATTTGGGTTTTCATTTGCCCAAGAGGTGTGCACCATTGGCGAAGGCAACATGGATGGCAGCCCTAAGTACCTCGCTTGAGAAACTCAGCAACCTAACACGGCTAGATATGTACTATGATGAAGTTGCTTGTTGTGCTGATGAGCTGAGCTCGCTTTCCCCTCCTTTCTACAAGCTTGAGCAGCTCATCATGAATATATGCATCTTCTCTAGAGTTCCTAGGTGGCTCGGCCATCTCCAGAACCTCCGTAAGTTGAATCTTGGGGTGAAGCAAATGGTCCAAGACGATTTTGCCATCATCGGGACAGGGGCACCGTCCCTTCTCAGACTCATCCTGTGGATCGTATGCATCCTCACAGAAAGGATCGTGATAAGAGGTTCCATGGGATTTGCATCTGTCAAATATTTTGAGTTCGACTATGATTGTATTTCGTACCTGTCATTTGAGGCAGGAGCCATGCCTGAGCTACAAGAGCTGCACTTAGCGGAGGAGTGTTTGAACGTGGTGGATGAAGGTGCAGGCTCCTCATGTCACTATCATGCCGACGAGGGCAATCATGCTTAATTGGATTTGATTTCAGTCATCATCAATTTCCTGCCTCCATCTAGCTTTGGAGAGATGTTTTGATTGGGGTGGACCTATATGTCACTAATTTTTTTTACATCAAAATGTAGTCAGCATTGGTCTTGATTTGTAGGTTAAATTTTGACGAATATACAAAAGTACAAGCATATTGTAATTTGGATGCACGGTTCAGTAAATATATATTGTGTTTTCAAGATTGATGGTTATCTAAAAGGAGACACGTTTAATCTAGCCATGCAGCCACATGATGACACCTCATCATCCGTTGACTATGTAGACCGGCCAAATGCTCCCAGAAATAAAATACGGCCGTTCATTTTTATTTTTTCCCGACTGTAGATACAAAGGCCAGATTTCTTTGTTATTTGCAGAATAAACACCTTTTGAGCAAATTAAAAGTGTTTGAGCCTGTTATTGCGCAGCCCTAATGTATGCGCCGGACAACACAAGCTTTCGGAGGTACATCTCTTTCGGCCCAACCCATTGTTACCATGCATCTATCAAGCATGGGCTACGGTCCAAAAAAACACCTGGGCCTGGACCAGGAATTAATCAGCATCCCAAACTAGGCCTGCTAGCCCACGTCGCTTCTCGGTTGGATCAAAACCAGTGTGCTCAGCTACCTACGAGAGTAATCCGCGATTCCGGCCATTTGGGCAATTGGGCCTCTCATCAGTTTCAGGATCTCTCAGCCCATTCCCATTCCCTTCGTCAGCCATGGCGGGTGGGTCGGATCCCCACGGCGGTGACTCCACGTCGGCCACGTTGAACGGCGACCTACAATGGGATGGTTGGTTTCATGGGCATTTTTTACTAGCGAGACATGTTGGCCCATCATCAACATTAACAACAATTATCTTTATCTATACTATGTTATTAAGGCGTCTTTAACAGTATGAGTAATAAATAGATTCCTAGCTTAAGAAATTTATCTATTAACAAATCAATCTCTAAAAGATTGAATGGTCCACCGGCCCATTTATTTTCCTCCAAGTCTCCTCGTATTTAGTGCACCCCCTCCCATCTCCCAATCCAGTATTGACTTTCTGCAGTTGGATATGTGTACTGAATGCTATAATTAGTGGGCTATTTGAACAATCACCGATCAGTGTGCTAGAAATCTATTTATTAAAGGACAGAGGGGGTAAATATGGAAAAGTGCGAAACTGTAACAAGCAGCCCTGGATATCATGTTGTGAGAGGGGAATGCATCGTGAAATGTGCGACACTATCTGTTGAGTGCATGCTAGTCTCTTGTCTTTTGCACTATTGGATGATTAAAAAATTGATTGAACTAGCTCTAAGCCATTAGAGCTGTTCTAACAGTTTTGAATTTCGCATGCCTTTCGTAATTGAATTGTTCGGTTCTCAAGATCACCATGCCAAAAATGAAAATCTTTCCAATTCGAATGGAGGTGAATATGGTAGAGGCACCCCTCCAAAACTTTGCAGGCAAATTTAACAATTTTTGGAGGAAATATCTCGGGTACTCATGCCCACAGGTACACTAGAACGCACTGAATGTAAATGAAATAAGAAATTGAAGGAACCAATCACTACCTCAGAACAGGTCTTCACTACCGGTTCAAAAACCTTATCACTGCCGGTTTTTTTAAAACAAAGAGGCATTGGGGGATCATCACTGTCGGTGAGGTTTTCCAAAAAACCCAATTCAGGTCGGAAAAAATAGCAAATTTTTTTAATACCAAGAGACCCCACTGGACAGTCACAAGTCACGCGATTTTTCGCTCAAAAAACGCGCGCTTTGCGGCCACCAGCGCTCGAACCCACAACCTCAGGCTTCGCGCTTTCGTCCCCTAACCACCCCACCCATAAGGCAATTATGTCCATTTAAGATATTCGTCCTCCCCATTTTATTTTCATCTGGTTTTCAAATGAATATTTGGGACCTTAAACAAATTCAAATGAAAAAGTTGTCGACTACAAAGTTTTGTAACTTTTCAAGATCTACAACTTTTGTTTTGGCCATTTCTCAATCCGAGGTCATTTGAAGAATTTGAATTTCAAATGCGAGGAAATTCAAACATAATTTTCCTTGGATAGATGATTTCGAATAAAAAAGTTATCAACTACAAAGTTGCATAACTTTTCGAGACCTACAACTTTTATTTTGGTCGTTTATCCATCCGAGGTCATTTGAGAAATTCAAATTTCAAATATGAGAAGTCAAACGTAATTTTTGTTGGATACATGATTTCAAATGAAAAGGTTTTCAACTACACAGTTGTATAACTTTTTGAGATCTATAACTTTTGTGTTGGTCGTTTCTCCATCCAAGATCTTTTCCTACCACTACACACTCACTTATGACTATAGAGCATATGGATTCATTTGATATTAATTCTATAAAATCTTGTGAAACAAATATTTCGGCATCAAAATAATTTCAAATAAAAAAGTTGTGAACTATAAAGTTGCATAACTTTTCAAGATCTACAACTTCTATTTTGGTTGTTTCTCCATCCAAGATCCTTCCCTACCACTACACACTCACTTGTGACTATACAATATGGATTCCTTTGGTTAACTCTATACAATCTTGTGAATCAAATATTTTGGCATCAAAATAATTTCAAATGAAAAATTGTTAACTACAAAGTTATAGATCTCTAAAAGTTATGCAACTTTGGTATAAAGTTTGTCTTCATCGAACATCATATGAGAAAGTTATGATGTTTTTCGTGTACTCTATCACTGTCGGGTCATGTCCCAAACCGGCGGTGATATTATCACTGCTGGGTCAAGCCACGAACCGGCAGTGATGATAGAATCACTGCCGGTTCAAGCCAAGAACCGGCAGTGATGACCCAATATCATTGTCGGTTCGTGGCTTGAACCGGCAGTGATGAGCCCAATATCACTACCGGTTGGCCTATCGTTGCTGGTTCAAGCCACGAACCGGCAGTGATGGGCTGGCAGACACTGTCACTGCCGGTTCATAAGAAACTCGCAATGATGGGCCGGCAGTGAAGGTCAGTTCTGTAGTAGCGAATGATTGTACTGATTGATGTGTTCTCAGATGAGCAAGTGGATGATTCATGCAAGTTATCAATTCAGCAAGTCACATCATTCACTAAGATGTATTTATTTGTCCACGTTAATATACCACACCATTCACTAAAATTCATTCACGATACCACGGCAACACACTCGATTTGTACGAACCCTCCGTCACCCCAAAATGAATGCGGTGATCTCGTAGTCCTTGGTAAGGTGATCCATTTTCCCACTAAGCACGAACCTCAACATGTGCTCGAGAGATAGTTCTCTATACACATAAGGGATGTATGGATTCTTGAGAAGAGAGGAGCCGCAGAACAGCAGCACTCTAAGACCACCCGGATCTCACGAGAGAATAAAAAGTTTGATCTACGTGGAATCTTAATTACCTAATCGTCCCATCTATCCTCCTAAGGAGAAGTTTGTTGGTTTCATAAGTCTGATTAAAACAAGAGGAGTATGCCATCATGCTAATATGGCTTGGATGATACATATCTTCAGATCAGGCGCTGATAAGCACATTGAACTATCCATGTGGATGAGAGCCCTGCGTCTGATGAGGATTGACATGGTCGACATGATGCTCGTTGTTTAGGAAGAAAAACAATGCGCCAGTTGCTATCGTCCAGTAGTGTAGCCAGCGACTTGTGTAGTCACACCCGTGACATTCATACATATGCATGGTAGGTATATAGCCACAAACAAACTTGGCGTTACCCCAATGCAAGGGCCTTCGCGTTACCCCGTCCCACAAGTCCATTGAAAGTTTGCAACCAAAGCGTCTGTTGGAAATAATCATGAATTTAATTAGTTTTAAGTCTTGCATATAGGATAGATGTGTTGAGTCACGTCATTTGTGGCCGATGTCATTAGTCACATGCATGTAGAGTAGGCTTGTTAGTTTGTGCTAGTTTGAGTACGGCGAGAAGCTAGCATCTGCATGCAAGACCACGGCGTAGAAGGCGGAGTGGCTTGTGGTCAGCTTCAGGTGGATGTACGCGTGAGTGCGCGTCGTGCAGAAACGGACAGACCCGGGCGAGTTGTTGCTTGCCGTGGAGTTTCAGCTAGGCTTTAAAAGGCCTTGTACTCTTTTGGTTTTCGTGGGCGTTTGTTGCAGCAGGCGTTCGTCGCCACATTCTTGTGTCCACTCCAAATTGCTGCTGTGTGCATGTGTCGACCTGCTAGCTAGCTTCTTGTGGGTTCTTCTGTGTTCCAAGCCTCCTCACTTTCATATGCATGGTAGGTATATAGTCACAAACAAACTTGGCGTCACCCCGGTGCAAGGGCCTTGGTTACCCCGTCCCACAAGTCCAAAGCCATTGAAAGTTTGCAACCAAAGTGTCGACCACCAGAAGAAGAACGCATCCACAGAAACAAAGCCGCTAGCCAATGGCCTGCAACCGCAAGCTTCTCTGCGCCTGCTTGCTGTTGGCTGGCGCAGCTGCAGCCCCGGCCGGTGCCGCCACCGTCAACATCTCCGTCTACTGGGGCCAGAGTGGCAAGGAGGGCAGCCTAGCCAAGACATGCAGCACCGGCCGCTACGCCTTGGTGGTCATGGCCTTCCTTTCCACGTTCGGCAGCGGCCAGACACCGGTCCTCAACTTGGCCGGACACTGCGATCCCGGATCGGGCGGCTGCAAAGGTCTGGCAGTGGACATCGCGTCCTGCCAGGCCAGAGGCGTCAAGGTGCTCCTCAGCATCGGCGGCGCCGCTGGAAACTACGGCCTGTCCTCTGCCTCGGACGCGCAGAGCGTGGCCACCTACCTCTGGGACAACTTCCTCGGCGGCACCACCTTGTCGCGGCCGCTCGGCGGCGCCGTGCTCGACGGCATCGACTTCAACATCGAGACTGGTGAGGCCAGTCACTTCGACGACCTCGCCAAGATCCTGACGTCGCTGTACAAGGCCGACAAGCGAGGACGGAAGTACCTGCTCACCGCGGCGCCGCAGTGCCCGTACCCAGACGCCTCTCTCGGCCCAGCGCTCGCCACGGGGCTGTTCAACCACGTTTCGGTACTGTTCTACAACAACCCCGGGTGCGAGTACCAGAACGGAGACGTGACCGATCTAGGGTTTTCGTGGAAGATATGGACGCAGTTCTTGCCGTCGGCATCGTCGGTATTTCTTGGCCTGCCAGCATCGCCTGATGCAGCGGCTAGTGGGTACATAGACCCGCAAGCCCTTGTGTCGCGTGTGCTGCCGGTGGTCGACGGCTCCGCAAAGTACGGCGGCATCACGCTGTGGAGCCGCTACTATGACATGAACACTGGTTACAGTGCCAAGCTTGTGAGCGGTAAGTAAATACCTCCATCAATCCGTATAGAGAATAACTATAGAGTAAAGCAAATGACGCCTTTAATAACATTCCTTTAATCATGAAAAATAGTGTGCTTACATATTCTATGCTAGATGGTTGGGTTGACAATATACATTAATAGCAGGAACAGGGATGCAAGTTATTAGGGTCTGGGGGCGATAACAAATGTGTATGTGGATTTCATTCACCTTGAATTCCTTATAATTTGTGACAAATTTTGAATAATCTGATACCTTATACTTTATTAGGACTATAGAGTACAATGATATTAGGTGTTAGAGCAGTGACATGACTAGGACAGCTTTTATAGAACGAATTAGTGCCCTTTTTGGAAGAAGAAGAAGAAGAAGAAGAAGAAGAAGAAGAAGAAGAAGAAGAAGAAGAAGAAGAAGAAGAAAAGATGACGTTGTGATAGAGTTAAGGACGAGACAGAAGGAATTGTTTCTGTAACCAGCCAGCTCGCCACGAATGAACAAATGAGAGGGGACTGGGAGAGAAAGGTGATTGGAATGGAATTTATGTATTTTGAGGAAACAAAATCCACCGCAGGGCTATAGTTTTGTATGTGCAGCGTCCACATGATGTGGCAAGTATCTGGGTTAGGATTTACAAACAAAGTGAGTTTGTGCGTTTGATCTGTTCAATTACTGACTTAATTAATGTACAAGTCGGTGATCAAAATGGTTTATTCATAAATTACTTCGCATTTTCCACTAAGATCCCTTAACTAGTTTTTTTTTAAAGAATGATAACTGATCATTTGATCGATCTGTTTGTTAACTCAGCTGTCGTAACGGATCCACCAAATGGCTCGCCAACTCCAGGGGGCTCTGGCAATGCATCGCCACCAAAGAACTCACCAGTTACACCGAATACCAGCCCATCACGAAAGAAAAGTATCAGAAGAATATGTAAGAATCCCTTGCCTATTTTGTGCTTTGAAGATTTTTCTTTTATTGATAAGACCAGCAGAAATATGCTTAGGGACATCTTATATATTTGGTCTCCTTGTTTATACTAATATTTTTTCCCTTAACATATATTGTGATTATACATTCTGACACCAAATTCACGGAATTATGAAATGCACAACCCAATGGCAACTCTGGTTCCAAACCATGTTTTACTCCTAGATCGATGAGCAGAATCGTAGACGATGATTTATCTGAGTGTGCTAAGAAAAACAACCCCTGACAATGGTGATATCCACCAGATCCTGTTGCTGAATGTCATTTTTCACAATGGCTAAGCTTTCCTATGTGCGAGTCTTGTTGGGGTTTCCACACTAACAGCTAGTGACAGCGGAAGCATTAATTTCAACACAATCTAAAGTTAGTCCAAAATCATCACCTATTCAGGTAGGGAAACATATACATCACACATATAGATGGAGGATAAAGCAGCGGCAACAACTAATTGAATCCAATCATCACATTAACCAAAAGACACCAGATTTTAACATGAGAAGCCCCCAAATCGAGGTAAAAACTACGGGACCAAACCAACCAAATCTTCTATTATTATTTACTTGTTGGATTACAGCCTGTTCATTTCTAGACGGCACTACAAACAACCATACGTCAAGATTTATAAATCTTAGACAACAACAACAACAACAAGATTTGGAACTGCTAGCTTAGGGTAAAGAATGACCTCACCAAATGATGGTGGAACACAGATTAGAAGCATCAAGGATGTGGATCTGACCTTTCACAACCTTGAGGACAAATCCTTCTTGATCTGTTCCAAGATCTTCTCTCTAATCTCATTCTTCTCCCTCTCCTTTTTCTTCTCTCTTGGAGGCTCTCACTCTGTTCTTGTTCTAGTGTTTTCTCCCTTCTCTCACACTTGCAAGAAGGGGCTGAACTAGTACTACCCTACCTCTCTCCCCACCCCCCCCACCCCCTCCTCTCGCCTCGCTTCTCCACGATGGGATGAGGGGCTGCCGCTTTGTGCTCTTCCAATCGAGAGCCTTCTCTCCTCTTGGAAGCCAAACATAAAAATGCTAGATGCACCACTTCCTTGAGCTACACCTATTATACGTGGACCAGCTCAAGCAATTCCTCACCTCAATGCCTACTCATATGGAGGGTTTCCCAACATGTCCTTACAATAACAAACATAGAGTGGCTTTACTCGCTACTTATTCAAAACTATACCAGCATTGCAATATTCAACAAGATATTTGATAATAGTTCCTCAGTACTACTATAAAAACTATTTTTAAAACCGCCTCCCTTTTTGGATAGAGGTGGCTCTATCAAAACCTACCTCTAAAAATGGTTTCTAAGCTGGCTCGCCTTTAGAAATAGATTTTTATAGGTGGCTAGGTTTTCCAGCAGCCTCTAGAAATGACCTCTATTTTTAGAGGTGGCTGGCAAGCTGAACCGCCTCTAAAAATATCTAGAGGCGGCTAGATTTTCCAACTACCTTTAAAAATTGATTTCTAGAGGTGGTTGGCAATTTGGCCCGCCTTTAAAAAATAGATGTAGCACAGTAAAATTCATAACTTTTACAAATCAAGGCGGATGAAGACAAACTTTATATAAAAATTGTAGTACTAGAACAGATCTACAACTTTTTAATTGATGAATTTTACATTTGAAATCATTTAAGGCCTAAAAATCTATTTTAAATTTTCATAATTTGAAATTCAATATTTTAAAATTTTTCAAATGAACCTCAAATGGAGAAATGACCTAAACCAAAGTTGAAGTACTCAAAGGGATTTATAAATTTGTAATTGACTACCTTTTTATTTCAAATCATTTATCGGCCAAAAATTCTGTTTTAAAGTTTTAGATTTTAAAATTAATTTTTTGAATTTTTCAAAGTACTTCGGATGGAGAAACAATGTAAACCAAAGTTGTATTAATCAAAGAGATAGGCAACTTTGTTGTTGACAACTTTTTCATTTGAAACAGTTTAGGGCCCAAAAAATCTGCTTTAAGATTAATGTTTTTGAAATTCATATTTTTGTTAATTATTCAAATGACCTAAACCAAAGTTATAATATTCCAAGAGATATAAAACTTTTTAGTTTAAACTTTTTTATTTAAATTTATTTAGGATTTTAAATATGAATTACAATATTTACTAAAGTGAATACAAAAGAAATATATCCACTTAGTCACAAACAGACTTTGAGGCGTAGTGGTAAGGAAGCAACATGCGAGGCTTGAGGTTGTGAGTTTGATCCCACGCGGTTGCATGTGGGAGTTGGCTGTCAGGCTTCTCTCGGGTTAAAAAAAATTGCTATTTTTTGCCTAAGTTATAAATTCTAGAAAATGATTTCTAGAAGCGGCTGGAATTCAGCCCGCCTCTAAAAATCGATCTCTATAGCCAGCTGGGTTTGGGCCCGCCTCTAGAGAGCGATTTCTAGAGTAGGCTAGATACCCATGTCTAGAAATTGAGACAGGCAGGTAGATGCCACTGGAATAGCCGTATCTACAAATGATTTCCAGCCGCCTCTAAAAAACCTATCTATAGTAGTGTCAAACAAAAACTCCATTGATATATCTATATATCATGGCCAACGCTAGAATTTTTCGACATAAGGAACTACGATCTTGTCTAAAAAAACAAAAACGGAGCATGGGCCATTTTTCTCATAATGAAAGACTTTATTAAAAATTTAAAGGACAATACATCAAGTTGATATATAAAGTCTTGAAAAGAACGACAACTGAACGCATGTGTTTGTTTGAGTTCTGGGCTTCTGGCCACTGAAGTTTCTCCTTCCTTTTAGAACAGCATGCAGCTTGATGGTTCATTTTTTTTAAAAATAATGTTATGGGCATTTTGCAGCATAATCGCACGTAAATACTTTTATTTAATAATGTCTATTTTCAGATATTATAGCGGGCACCTCAGGGCTATCTGGGGTGTGTGTAATCGTTCTCACAGTCTTCATGTGGTATAAGAGATGTTATGGCATGGTACCATGGCACAGAGGGCCAAGAAATTCACCAAGGCTTGAATCTTTTTTGCAAAAGCAAGGAACTTTACACCCCAAAGGCTACACTTATTCGGAAGTGAAAAGAATGACCAAGTCTTTTTCTCACAAGCTGGGCCAAGGTGGCTATGGTGCTGTTTACAGAGGCAACATGCCTGATGGTCGTGAGATAGCTGTTAAGATGCTGAAGGGCATGGAGGACGATGGTGAGGAATTCATGAACGAGGTGGCCAGCATTAGCAGAACATCTCATGTCAACATTGTTACTCTGGTAGGATATTGTCTTCAAGGTTCAAAAAGAGCTCTCCTCTACGAGTACATGCCCAATGGTTCCCTTGAGAAATACACTTTTGGCAACAATTCTACCGAAGGAGAAGACACTTTAAGTTGGGATAAATTGTTCAATATTGTCATAGGAATTGCACGAGGATTGGAGTACCTCCACACAGGATGCAACGCCCGCATTGTGCATTTCGATATTAAACCCCACAACATTCTGCTAGATCAGGATTTCTGTCCAAAAATATCAGATTTTGGATTAGCTAAGCTGGGCCAACAAAAGGAGAGTAGAATCTCCATTGCCGGGGCAAGAGGCACTATAGGGTACATAGCGCCTGAAGTATTCTCAAGAAACTACGGACCAGTGGGCAGCAAGGCTGATGTGTACAGTTACGGCATGGTGGTCCTTGAAATGGTCGGAGCAAGGAAGAAAATTGATGTCAGTACAGACGACAGCAGCAGCAAGTATTTTCCGCAATGGTTGTATGAAAACTTGGATCAGTTCTGTGGCCCCACAACTAGCGAGATCAGCAGCAGCAGCGACACCGCGGAAGTGCTCGTGAGGAAGATGATCATAGTTGGCTTGTGGTGCATACAGTCCAAACCGGCCGATCGGCCTTCCATGGGCGAAGTCCTTGAGATGTTGGAGAGCAACGCTGCTGACCTGCAGTTGCCACCTAAGGCCTTTTGGACTGGTTATTAAACCCAACCTGTAAACTTTGCACTCTTTTTTTATGACAGCATATTGCATTGTTTTAGTGAGTACTTACTAGGATTTTAGCAAATTTTCGGCCTGAATTCACTCCACAACATTTTTTGCTCTTTCAAAAAGGATGAAATTAAAATTGGGGCTTAATTAATTCCCTGTAATGGAAAGACAACAAAACAGAGTGGATCGGAGTCCACCAATATAAAATGTTGACAATGTGCAAGTCGAACCAGTGACCACGACCAGTGACGGCTAAACAAGTAAATAGGGGTGTGTTTGGTTTGAGGACGAAATTGGATGTGATATAGTTGTTTATGAATCTTGGGATAGATTTATCGATTCTTTTTATTTGGTTGGATGGATAGAACGAGCTATTTTTCTATTTGGTTAGATGGATGAGAGTGAGTAAAATTAAAATAGCTAACTAAGTATGTCTATTACTTAAAAATAAAAACTAATTATACACTAATCATTACACTACTAAAAAAAGTATTGTCGCAGCACCCTTATCACCGCCGGTTACATAATAACCAACGGTGAAATTGTTTCACCGCCGGTTGGAGGTACGGCGAGGTGCAAGGACCAAATGAACCAGCGGTGAAAAGTGTATTCACGGTCGGGTAACCGTTAGATCCGGCGATGATCTGTAGGGTCCACTTCACCACCGGATTATACGCCGAGCCAGCTGTGATAGTAGTTTTGACCGCCGACCTTAAAGGGCCACTGGTGGACCGGCGGTCAACAATCTTCGCGACTGTTCACTCTCCCAACTTCCAAAGTCTTTCCATCACCATTAATTCCGCCGGGAGAAGCCGAAGAGAGTCCCAATGCTCTACATATATTCACGACATCTACCCTCTGAAACCATCCCTCTTCTTTCTTCACCCCTTTCTTCCAACTTCAACCATGACCGACTTCAAGCTACCTGACAACGACTCCTCCAAGGAGGAAGAAGTCGAGCGTTGGTGGAGCACTAGCAACGAGGGATCTAGCGTCGAGAGCTCGCCGGATCAGAGTCCATTGGACTTCGACAATGAGTGCTTTTTTGGTGACGGCGATGGTGCCGAGGAGGAGGAGGAGGAGGATCATGAGGAGGAGAAGGATGACGATGAGGAGGAGGATGATGATGATGAGGAGGCGGAGGAGGAGGAGGACGACGAGGAGGAGACCACCGATGAGCCTCCAGCAAAGTGGTGGAGGAGGAACGATCCTAGCTCGGGCATCGAGGATCTAGATTAGATTTAGTTTAGTTTAATTAGTTAGAATCTATGTAATGTTTTTCAGGTTCAGTAAGAAATAAATAAGTTTTTGTTTCATTGATTACAATATATGTTCATCAAGACACTGTCAATTATAATGAATTAGACTTCTTTGAGCGTGTGCATTGTAGTGTTCTCATCCACCGACAACCACTCGATGATACTATCAAATTACTGAGATAATTGGCCGCTTAATACGGTTACTGTGACTATTATCACCGGCCATCCGTCCTTCCTGCTGATGAATCTGGTTGTCCGTGTCACTCATATCTCGAATCGCCCGACCGACTCCTCACCTTAACTTCCAACTCCCCTGGGCCCCTGTCGGTTGCGGTTCCCCAAGAAACCCCACTGCGAATCGCTTCATTCTCTCCACCCGGTGTTTTCCCTCCATTGAATCCAAGTGCAAGTGGTTGTTTCTTCGCCTCTACACGGTTTCCTGCCTCCTCGACCATACATTGTCCCCCGAGGCAAGCACCGATGAAGGTTAGATCAGCATCCCAACAAGATTGGTCGTTCCTACATTTGCACTTGATTCCAATTCGTTTGAGTGCTTAGGGCTACAATTAAATGCTCAGTGCTTCAGATTCGAGTCACAACCTTTCCTATTTTGGTAAACTCATATTGGTTCATATTAGTCATTTCTTGATTACAACAGATGTCTTACTATGCAAGGAGTGTTTTCCATACGACCAACATTTCCATTTGGCAGCTTGGGGGTGGTACTAGGATCCTAACATTTGTTGTTTGTTACTTGGGGCCATTGTGTTCACCAGGAGCGAGGGTTGATTGTTGAAGTGGATGTTTGTGACCTTCTCGGCCCACTAAGTTTTACCAGAATCCTTGAAGACAATGTTTGGGGAGAAAATTTTATGCTTTGCAACTCTCGACAACAAGCGTCTACACTTTCTAGGTATAGTGTCGATGTGGAAGAAGACTATGTAATTTTTAGTGTGATTCACTTCCTCCGGCCATTTGGCCCGCATCATGCCATTGAGTTCCTAAGCATGTCCGATGCATCCCACATTTTTGGGATGTCGAGTTGTTTGATGTTTATAAAGTTTATATATAGTGACAATATGCAGCAATGCCTCTGCATCCCTATGCATGACAAGTTAATCATGCTTGAACTCCTAGGCCTTGTTTGGTTCCAGGAATTGAGAGGAATTGGAAAATAATCTAATAATAAAATGGGAAGCACTTTCTAGATATTGGTTTAATTCATAGGATCCAAACAAACCCTTAATTTAATGTGTGTCTCGTCGGACTCTTATGTTCATATATGTATTCTTAATCTGTTGCGGTGGACATGTACACGTCTACTTGTGCACGAATTTGCAGATGGAGTCCTCTTGTTAGCCGAATTAAACTACGAACTGATGCTGACCATGGGGCGGCGGGGAAGGAAAGAGTGGGCCGGATCTCAGTGCGAGCTCAGAGTGTGGTTTTTGTTCTTCTTTCAACTCTTTTGTACTTCTTTCAACTCTTGTGTAGTTATCTTAGTTCTTGGCACGTTGATTGGCCGTATCCTCCGTTCACTGAAGTGTATCGAAGTGTCAGGATTAGTATTCTTTATTTTTGTCTTGTTGAACTATTGATGTGCCGTGATTAATCACCCGGTGCATGTTGTAATTAACCCCCAATCTCTCGCGCACAAACGAGGATGAATTATTTTTGTCCCCAACTAATAATATACCATCATCCAGATTCCCAATTCACAATTCTCTAAAAAGAACTACAGTGGTATATTCATGACACGTGGATGTTGGCGTGTGTGTAAAATTACATTACAGAATCCAAGCCTGCCTGTGGGAAAAAAAAACAGAGGAAACAGGGGAAATGGCATGGAATCGGGATTCGGGAAATCGTCACACCTGGAATTGCTCCATCTGGACGTCGGTGAAAGTAAGAGGGAGCACGGGAATTGCCATAGAATACGTTTTTCCTTTACATTTTATTACAAAAAAGCTTGGTAATAGAGAATCTTTTTTAAAAGAAGAGCCACTCCCTCCGTCCTGAATGTCCAAAGTTAAACTTAGGTTTGTCCAATTTTAAATAAACTGGTACTAACATCTATGACCCAAAAAATATAGTACGAAAATATATTTCATGTTCTATCTAACTATACTAATTTTATGTCATAAATATTATTCTTTTTTATATAAAATTCGGTCAAACTTTAAGTTTTTAGATTTATTATGAGAAATACTCTCATGATATGTAGTTCTCGTAATCAACCTAAAAACATAAAACTTATGTTGTTAACCAAAATAAAATTTTTAAAATTGGTAGTCAAAGATAGAAATATTTAACTTAGGACAAATAAAAAAATAGAGGGTAATCAAAAAATGGGAGGAATCGACATCACAGCCGATTGGGACACATCCAGAGCAGGTCAGCCAATTATAGCACTAGCAGTAATTGCTGGAGCAAACTAAGGTACTCCCTCTGTCCCTTTTAAAGTGTCACTATGTGGTGTGCCGATTAAATTTTCTTAAGTTTAATCTAATGATACTAATTATGTATCATTTGTATCTCTAAATAAGTTTATTATGAAAAAATAGATTCAATAATCTATCTAATCTAATGATACTAATTATGTACCATAAATATTAATATTTTCTAGTATATATTTGATTAAAGTTAAACACGTTTGATTTCTCGGGAAATAAGAGACACTTAAAAAGGGACGGAGGGAGTAGATGTGGCTGTCATAGACCGTCCAGTTCATTCTGAATCACAGCCACACCATTGCTAACTGCAGTCCTAGCACGTCAGTGGCAGAAAATGTTGAAATGTTTCCACGTAAATACTTATGTCTACTTGTGATTCGGTATTTATCTTGCCATACTTGTTGATTGGTTCCTATCTTGCTTGCTATTGGTTCCACTTTTGTTCAAGTTCACCGTGTATGGATGAGATTGGCATACGTCGCATACATGAGTTCTTTGATATGTTGATGATGGGGATTGATGTGTTAGTGAATTGATCTTTGCAAGTATATTCTTTATTGTGAAGCTTGGACAGCACCATGTTTAAGAAATTGATGCTATGGGGCTGTTTTCTAGTAGGCACGTATGGTATTCGGTGAAATGCTTGTGAGTAATTAGCTTGAATTTCGATGCTTTCGATGCCCCTTTGCGATCACACTTTGGGATGCAGGCTGTCGCTCAAAATGCAATGTAACGTGACTGAGTGGAGTAACATTTTCTTAATGTAATACCTCTGCTCCTCTTTGTACCTCTTAAAACTTCAGGCCTGCCTGTCAGGCTCAAAGCTCTCCAGTAGCGACCTTGTCGGCATATGTAGTTTATATATCAGGTGGGGACCTATTGTTCCCCGTCGAACCATCAGAAAAAGATAAATGTTAGTTGCAGCTAATTTTTGTGGGCAAAAGCATCTTATTTGTAACTAACCATCAAATAGCATCGGTTTGTGTGGGGAGAGTATGATACTTAAACCTTTTTTCCCGTCGAACCATCAAAAAAAGATAAATGTTAAATTCTGGTTAGCTTCGATCTCGTCGTGATTTTGTTTCCGATTTCTACAATCCTGAAGTGATGAGCTTAAGAAGTCATAAGTAGGAATTTCATCTAGGGACCATGCATCAAGGTAAGGTGGAATCATGTGTACTGCTAGGAGTTTTGTATTGCTGCCATGATTGAGGCTATGTAGCACTAGTCAACAATATTTTAGGAAGCCTCTCCATGGTCACTTTTGTCATGGGTCACGCCCACTCACTAATTTAATGACCATCACCACTCGATGATTCGTGCACTAGATAATATAAAGGCGTGCAACCAAATGTGAAATTATTGACCGTGACCATCAACCCACTCACTAATATATGCCGGCTAACCACGTCTCAACGATTACTCGGAGTTTCTCGGTCATCCCCCCCTCATGTAGGTATTTGTATATGTATATAAAACAGGAGGGGAGTGAGAGCTTTATATATTAAAGAAAATAATATAAAGTAAACAAGGCATTACAAAGAGAAGAGAGCAAGACTGTAACACCCCGCATGTTCAGTACCAAGGTAAAAATGCCAGCTCAAGGATTATTACCCGACAAAGCGATGCCTTCTCGAATAATGACCCTAGTCAAAGTGTTGCAACAGAACAATAGTTAGGACCTTACAAAATTTGTTACATTTAATAAAAAGGCAGTTAATAAATATTACTTGAACAAATATAATAACAACTCCATCACGTTATACTAGAAATTATGTGTATATTGTATTTCTCCTGTCACTTCTGTAGATCGTCCGCTTGGTATATCGTATCATCACAAGTTGTCCCTTTTCATCTGAAGAGGGAGGGTTAATAGCAAGAGTGAGTACAAAGTACTCAGCAAGCATATAATATCAATGAAATACATGCCTATCCATTTGTCATATCCATCCTCAATCATATATCATTTTATCAAAAGTTGTATATTTTAGAAAACAAGTTAACAAATCTATTATCACCCATATAGTGACACAGAGCCTCATATAGGCTCCCATAGCCTCTAATCCAAGAGACACGACGTGAACTCACGGTTTAACCCTGCGCAGGTTTGTATCACTTTACCCATGATTACCCCGACCAATTTTCCATCGCACTTCCTTTGATGCGACTCATGGTCAAGATACCGGACTTCCCCCACTTCCGTATATTATATACATCCACATCTATCCACGTGCGCTAATATATGCGTCTGGGTGTACTTCATCGACACCTGAATGGGGATTTCATCACCCACACCTCTCCTCACTTACCATAGGGAGTATATAACAACCTTCATGGGTACCGGACTCGGCTCGTCCCAAACGAGTTCATGGGCGACACGGTGTCATACGGCACACATAATGAGTGAGAGGGGTTAGTCTTTATATATTCATACACCCTGTTCGCTGATTGGTGCTGATGCTGGTTTGGGCTGGTTGGTACTGGTTTTTTGTGAGAGAAAAATACTATTGACTGGTTGAATAAGCCT